ACGTGAATTTTTTTTTGTCGATTATAAGAAGGAATCGATCACGTTTGACGATAAAATAATAGATAGTTTTTTTGATTCATGAGTATTTTTGCACTTGAAAAAAAATTCGCATATGTGAAAAGAAATAAGAATTACCCTGCCTGGTTTTTTTTCGCAGTTCGTAATATTCGCGCTAATATGACGGAAAGTTAAATATAGCGAATGTGGAACGCGATCGCGCTTCCGGATAAAAAAACAGTCATAAACGTATCTCCGATCTTAGATTCATTCCTCTATTTAATTAATTTAGAATAATAAAGACAGCGCTCTCTTGTCGCGAGCGGGATGTGAAAAGTCGCGTGTTTTTTTCCTATACATCGCCTGTTTCATCCAATCCCGCGAATTTCGCCGATGAACGAATATTAAGCTTTCACACCCTCGAGAATATATACCGCCACCATCCAATCTCTATGCAGATACGAGACGAGCGTGTCGGATCGTGCGCGGGAAAAAAAGTGTGCCGTCGAATGGCAGATAAAGGGAGCCAGCCATCCGAGTTCGGGAAAACCACAGATTCTCGACAAGATTTCTCTAGATCCCTTCTCGTGTTTTGGCACCGTAGATTTATTTGGCGATCTATGCGCGGCCTCGTCAAGGCTCTCCGTCGTATAAATGCTTTCGGAGAAACAAAGAAATCCGTACAGATTTTTTACGAAGTCTTTTTTTTTTTTTATAAAGACAAAACATGCCACAAGATATAGATGATATTGAGACGGGAGGAGATTTAGTATCGTAATAAAAATCTGTAGCTACTTTCGATTGTTGACTTTAAAATTGAAATCAACGTTCGGTGAATTGTATTTGTAATCGAGAAATAAATAGGATAACAGGATATAATATCTCTCGAATATAAAGTTAAAGGCGCGGAACTAATTTTATCGAGACGTATAGATGTCCAATTTTATATCGTATTTATTATTAAAATGGCTACGATATGAAGATGGCCTCAAAGATATTGAACATAGAGAGATATATTCTGTGTTTTCTCTGATTCTTATATAATATAAATGTTTCTCATAATAGTACAATGTCCTTGAAAAAAGCGATAGCTGCAAACACGGATGTCCTCGTTATTTAAGACAAGATTATTTTTACAGCGAAAGATAACGCGTCTTATTTAGTAAGCCGGGGAAAGTTAATCGGGATTAATAACGATAGCTTCTTCGTAAAAGTGCGCGACTAGAACTTAAAAAAAAACTCCGACTTTTTTCCAAAACTGGAAACTATAATAAAGCTTCAATCGATCTTATTGAAAATAACTCTATATATAAATACCATATGTTTAATAAATACATTTAACACAACAAATATATTATATTTTAAATGTCTACAATTTTAATTGAATCTGTTGAATACATAAAATTTATATTAATACTAATTTGTAGAGAATTCTTGAAACATATTATTGGAGCTTTTCTACAATTATAAAATATATTTCAAGAATCCCCTCGAAAAGAATTGTCACTGCGTTTATATGCGAATCGAATTTGATTTCGCAAATACACTTTCATCCAATTCGAGATTATCGTGTGTCTATCGCGCATTAATGGGATGCTATCGTGATCGGTTTTTCCAAATCAAACAATTAAATCGAATTAAAAAAAAAAAAGTGGCAGAAGTTTAGTATTATTGTGCCAATTCGAGTCCATTGCTGATACTGATCTGCGATAGCCAATAAATAGATAGAGAGATTTGGGAGACCCTCTCTTTCCCATGAGAATTATTCCCATGAATAACGCGTAGGATCGGCGACCTGTCACAACCGATAACGCTATACTAAATGTTAATTAATACGTCGTGATATATGCAATTGGCACTGATTTGAAGGCCAAATCGGGAATGCCCGATGGTGCGGCATAAGGGGGACGACACAAGGGAGTGGGAGTGACGCGTGCGTAATAATGCAGTGCCTGCAGTGAATGCACCTCGAGGCACCGGAAGGCATCGAACCCGGCTCCGCCCCATCGTAGAGAATTGCCAGTTCACCTCGGGATCGAGAAGACTCGGGAGCCGTTATTTCCCATCCCATTTCTATGAACTTCCCGAATTCAATATACAGAGTGTCCGGTAACTAACGGACCAACGATTACAAAAATGGATTCTTTGGTCAATTTGGGAACGATTTTTCCTCAGCGAAAATGTCGAAAAAGGTCATCATTTTTTACAACTTTCCAATATTTGTCATTATGTATCTTTATAACTAAGGCTCGAATGAAAATTTTATTATAGTAAACTCTACCTGAAATTAACTGAAGAATGTAATTATGTTAGACTTTTAACTCCAAAACGTTTAGTTTTCAAAAAACCCATTTTTTTTCAATCGCTTATAACTCGAAAATTATTGACTTCTCAACATTTTTGCTAAGGAAAAATCGTCTCCAAATTATAAATAAAATTATCTAGATGAAATCTTGGCGTCACCTTATCTTCATAATATAGATAATTTGACTTGAGTCATACATATAAAAATACTTGAGTAGTAGAACTGAAGCGGTAAGCGATAAAAACTTGTAAATAAAAATCTGAACATATTTTGATATATCCCTTTTATAAAATTTACATTTTTTTATAATTGTGTTTATACAAGCGGTCTTAAAAATAATATTATCTGGAGGTTATCTAGATGAGTTACCATATAACTTTATCTTTTATCTAGTTATATTTGAAACGAAATGATTTTTATCTTATCTAAGATGAATTTACATCTTTATTTAGTTACTTGAAAAATCATCCAAGCGCAACACTGAAAACACCGGAAAATAATTTACCGGATTCGCCACTGTTTGCTAACCATAATCGAATATATCGACACAGGTCGTCTTTCATCTCCGTCGAGTTTTGTTATTCCGATCACACGAAAGAATGAACGATAATTTAGGCAAAATACTTATATCGAGATAACAGTGAGATCGGGAGGAAGAAAAAAAAGGGATTGGAATCTCTTAGTTGAACAAGAGACGATTTCGTTGCATTTTGTGGTGATTCGAACTCTTGACTATATATACACGTGCGTATATGAAGGAAAAATTGATGTCGACGAAAAATTCCTAGATAAACATTCATTTGCGAATAGCAAAGCTAATGGCACAACGGAAGAGAAAATATATCTTAGCTTCCATCCGATTTCTCGCTTCTTTGAATTTTCCTCGCAATAAATTCCTTTATTTATCTTTACAACATAAAGGATGCAAAAAAATATGCGGGAGTAAAAAGAGAGAAGGAAATAGATAACAAAGATGATGGGGAGGAAAAAGCATCGAAATTCGATGGCGAAGAATTCGTTGCCGATCTCATCGAAGCGTCAACTCATTTAATTCAATAATAGAAGGCAGAAAAGATCCGGAAGGGATTTCCATCGTTATGCTGATTAGATCGTACCGTTTTATTAAGACGGCGGATGTAAACTTTGTGATTCATAAACTCGCGAGGGAGGTTTCGCTTTGGCGAGACCGAGTTTCCAATCGTTTACCCTCGTCGTCCGCCGCAGGCGGATCCATCGTCGACCTTTACTACTTCATCCTGTACTTTCCGATCCCGCGGAACGTTCGAGACCGCGTGCAAATTCGGGAGGATTTTCAGGGGACTTTATTATGCGCAAAGATTTCATTTGCATTCCAAACATTCGCATTCATTCCCTTATTCCAACCACGAAATGATTTTTATTGTCCATCGTTTTAATGTATTTTCAAATTCATTCCATTTTCGTTTATTGTTAGCTGCATAAACTTATTTTTCGCTGCAAAATATTTCTCCCTCATATTTACTCCAAAAATGTATATCGAAATTCATGAATATATATGGTTTATTAATATTATTATATATAAATAATCTTTTTTAAATTAATACTGATCTCTCTGTTGCACGACGGTAGAATGAATTTAATAGGAAAGAACTTGATCATTTATGCATCGCTTAAAGATGTAGATATTGACGATTTCATAAATTATTTAACCGTGTTAAATGAAGTATAAAAATATTTGCAATTTGCAATATATATAGAGTTAAAAATTGATATACTTTACTTCCTTTATGGAAAATATGCATTTTAATTCGCTCATTAAAATTACATTCTTTTAGATTATAAAACAAATTTCCTTGAATTGCGAATATTTGAAAATCTGAGTAAATAAATAATATAGCGCTATTATATCCAAATAGAAATTTTCCATTTATTTTCAGTCCATTTTTTTACATTTATAAATTCTGATAGATTTTATTTAGGTAGAAAACAAATAGTTCTCTTTAAAAAAAGAACTTTTGGCAAAATTATAGATAAAATGATTTCAAAACAGAATGATTCGACTCAAATGTCAAAATAGATAATTGATTGAATATTGTTGTTGAAAATAGGAGAAAAATTTCGATTCGGGTATCTGATTTGTAAAAAGTATTTCTGATTGGAAGTTTCGCATTGAAATTGATCCGAGCAGTATTATCGTTGGAATATTTACAATCCTACTTAATATATTCGCTCAACGCGGAAGTTACTTTCTCAAATTTGCGAAATTCCTTCGGAGTACACGCAAGAAAACCCATTTCCGGGGTTTAGTCGAGGAGAAGGTGGAAATCGCCGAAGGCGAACGTACAAGCTTGCAGAGAAGGACTCTCCGGAGCCAATTTGCGCAGATTCGTCTCATAAATCCGACATCGGCCCGAGAGTCCGCCGAGAGGTAAATAACATCGTTCGTTATAGCCGACTTTGGAAGAGTGTCAAGCGATCGTGTTGGCGCCGCGACAACGAAAGAAATATTTATCTTTTTACGAGACATTCTCAGAGGCGAATTTTTCTCTCGTTTTCGGTCGCGCGCGCTCGACAATTTTCTACTATATATGTATATATAAGGCGGAAATTGTCCACGATTTTGACAATATTTGTAGCTGGCGTTCCGCAATAATCGAAATATGTTTCGCGCTGTTTGAACAGTTTTTGGAACGGAAAAAATAATATCTCGTGTACTTACGATGCACCAATCGTCCGTGGATGAGCATTCCATCAGCATCTGTGCGGTGTAATTAATGCACGGTGTAATACTGCCGACTCCCTCGTTGTACTGTCCACATCTATAACATCTAATACCATGTACGGCACCTGCAACACACCACATAAATTCATTAAATTAATCATTTCAATCGTCAACATGCGCTCTCCGTGAATGATGCAGATATCGAATGAACGAACCGAGTTGTGAGCAACCAATAAGTATCGTGACATTTTGAAAATGCATTTTTCCGATTTCCTCTCTTTCTACCCATCTGTCCGTTCGGCGAAAACAATTGGCGACGGACGAACGTCGCATCAATTCGCAGCTGGTTTCTCGACTCGCGATCCGATTAATCCAGCGCGATTCACACACGGAGAGGCTGCGGAAATCGATGGGATCTATAAAACGTTTAATCCCGCCTCGTAAACGCGAAAACTCGGACGCCGCTTATTCCGCTCGCGCGAGTAATGGCTCCTCGGCACGTATCGCGAGACCCGGTCGAGTTCATGACTCGAGCGAGTAGTTTTAGTGCGCTTTTCCGCGCCAGGACCGATCCAACTTTTTCGCCGGCGAGCATAATGCATGCTCGTAAAATTAAAGATTTACGAGGACGAGGCGAGCGCGCGAGTGCGCTAAGTGCCGATTCCAGATGAGATGCTGGACATGAAAAGGAAGATTCATTCTCTCCCGTCCACGAAAGAGGACTAACTACGTTCATAAATTTTACAATTATTTCATTAATTAATTTCTTCGAAGTAGCTTCGAAATATATTTCAAATGCAAATTTCACCCAATTTTTTTATCAAATTCATTCTTAATACAGAAACAAATTATGTTTTAATTATGGTATAAAAACATTATTTTTTAAGAGAGAAAGAGTTTTCACTTAACAATATCCATATTTTATGAAATTAGACAAGCTTGGCTTAATTATTTTCTTATTTATAAACACGGGATGAACTTTCGAGGAGCATCTTGCAAAAAAAAGAAAAAAAAAGAGGAATAGCCAGAAAAAGGCATAATTGATAAGAGTGATAAAGCGCTTTAAGTATTCGCCACAAATTCGCGGTGAGTCCTCCAGTGAACTTCAATAGTTTCTAACGCGGTCTAAGGGAGAGAAGATTCTTCTGACGTAGAGTCCTCTTGAGAGGTGAACCACCGTGGAACCTCGTTAGAACTTTACGAACTTGCAAGTTTATCGAGGCTGATGTTTCGTAATGCCAGCGCGGTGTTGGCTCAAGCTTCCCGACAAGATATTAAGATTATATAAGTATATTCATGCGTTTTTTTTGCGCGTTCGTATATAAACCCCGTATGGTTCTTTTATATAAATTGAGGATATAAAATAAGAACCGGCGCGCAGAATGTCAGATAGCGTCGAGGAAGAAGAGACTAACTTAGATAAGTCTTTATTTTATACCGTATCGTAAAACCATGCAAGTATATATATAAAAATGACAGGATTTTACATGAAATGTTTCGAGCTGTAAACAGGAAAATCGCGTAAACGTAAAAAAGAAGATTACATTCCCTCCGATGTTATTTCTTTATCGGTCCGCTGCGTCGCCACGTCGACGTAAAGCGGTACATATATTCGAGATCACAGGCTTGGCTTTCCGGACTGGACCCGGGTCGCATAAGCTATACCGCAAAAGTGGTTCCGACAGCAAGAAATAAAACGAGATCAATCCGCGACGCGGCGATATCGACAAAACCGCGAGAGAATGGATCAGCGCCCGGCCTTGCATTTCGGGGAAGCTTTTTGCCTGGCATAGTGTTTTCCTATTTCCAATAAAATATTTTTGCCGCATCCTGATCGAGAGAGAGAGAAAGAAAGAGAGCTCTCTGCGCCGGAACCGACTCAATAAAGAGGCAACTTTTTCAATTTTCTGCGAAATTCGCCCGCTCGAAATTCGATACGCCAATCTACCAAATCCTTAACCCAGGCTTCATACATCCGCTCTTCTCTCTCTCCCTCTGTAATCCATCGATGAAAATCATTTCATATCAGTAAATTGATCATTTGAGTGATATGTAATTAAAATAATCTGTATATAATCAATCAGATTTAATATATACGACATATTATACAGCAACCGAAATAATAATTTTGTGCTGATCATTTCACGCTCACAAATCTCGTCATAAGCTTGAATTATGTGACATAAATTTATTAAACAGAAAATAAAATTAATGCGATGAGTCTCTTTTTTCGAAAAAAAGGCCATATGAATTCTTTCCAGGGCGCGAGAATAAAATCTGTTTCGCGCCAAAAAAGACTTGAGACTCTCGTTTCGCTCGATATGGCAGAGACGCGACACGTAAATTCTGTGTATACGGAGGAAGAAAAATATTCGGGTAGTAAATTTTGCTGAAAGAGGAAGAGAGAAAGGAGATGAGGACGTGCCCTCTCTGTATCTCGCTCGCGCGAATGATTTATCTCGTCGCTTATTTTTTCCGCAATGTATGTATGTATATATATATATATGGCTGGTGCGATAAAAACCGCATTTTCGCCGGATACGATGTACACCACGATACGGTACGTATTGATAGCGCGACCAGACGTGTGCCGAGATGTATTTATTTTGCCGTTGTCATTATTTTGGGGGTCGGATTCGGGCTAGTTGCCGAAACCGCCGTTCGATATTCCGAAAATTGGAACGGCCATATCCTGTGCGATTTCGCAGACAAAATTGATATGGGCAATCAATTTTTTTTAATCTACGTCTATTCAATTTTAATTTACCTCTATACAATGACATTTGAAAGTTTCTGACTTTTATGCTATATATTTAATTAAAATAAAAATAATTCAAAGTTAATCAAGTACGGTAAACGAAAACTGACATGATATTATTTTGACAGAAGAAGGAAGGAGCACGTTATCGTAACATAATTTTGTCATTAACCATCTTTGCAATTTACCATCTTTTACAACTTTGTTATCCGTCCGCAAATATTTGCTTTTCATCAGGTATAATAAAGTCATACCAATTTATTTTGATTTTGGTTTACCAGAGAATGTATGCGCAAAATTCAATTTTAGATTGGATTTTCGCGAATTTACTTTCACTTTTTTCAATATTTTGCCATAACTTTTTGGAAAAAGATGTAGAATCATTTCTCAGTTTCCATACACAACAAATTCTTCGGAAAAAACTTTCGTATTTTTCGTACAATTGACAAATCTGATTATATATATTAAAATTGTATGGCTGTTATTGTATATTGATTGAGACAATAGTGAAAATGATGACGTAATTTCGCTCATGTAAATGTAACGGACGTCAAATATTCGTCCTGGCAATTGTCGACAATGGAATTTGCACACAGCCGCTGTTTTGAAAACAATTTAAACTTCGTCGCCCCTGAGTGAGCTCGAGCGGCCATCGAGGAAGAACTCGAACCGACGAGAGCAAAGTCCTGACGAAGTCCTTACGCTTCCGCGAGTTACATTTTCGCTACTGACAGATGAGTTAACTACTATCTCGGTTTCTGTCCAATATGAGGTGAGTCATGATTACGTTCCGAAAGTGATTACAAGTTGAGAGATTCCTTCGTACAATATCAATTAATGTGTTCCTTTTTTCATGTCATTTTTATTAATTTATACCTATTTATGTAATCTCAAATATACATAATTAATTATATTTATTTATTATATTTGAAATTATTATATTTATTATTTTTGACTTTTTTTTGAGATTTATATTTTTAATTCAAGATACTAAATATACGAAAATTTATATTATCGAATATATTGAGAAACTTAATTTTTGAGAATAAGAGTAGGTACTTTGCAATTAACTAAATAATCTTATCACATACAAAGTGGCATAGCCCATTATTATTTTCCGTATCACATTCTTGTGGTACAATAAAATCGCGATGTATTCCATGGATCATATCAGTCAGTAAGAGAAATGTGATGCCGCGGCACATAAAGTCACGTAAAAGGACGGATCCTTTTATGGAAGTTCGCGAGTCGCGTAGAATCGAAGCTCTCATAGTAGTGAATAACGTCATTACGTGAACGCGGAAAGATTTCCTCGTCGTAAGATATCCAAACGGAAATGCTGATCTCTCGATGCCGTCGCAATCAGCTTTTGTGGAGGACTTAACTTCCCGTCGAGCGACGTTATCATGTAAAGTACATTTGAGAGAAAAGTTAGCTCCTTTACAAAAGTCATGGGTGTATCAACGCGCGCGGAATGAAGGCGGATTATTACTCCGTTCGTAAAGAATGAAAGTAATTTTGCAGAAAAGTTTCCGCGAAGAGATGTCTCGAGCAGAAATATTTGCTCGCGTTGTAATATAGAGAAGCTGATTATTCTCTTTACAAAAAATGCAGAAAAAAAGAAAGAAAAAAGGAACAACAAAACGATAAGCGTTCGTCAAATTCGGAAATATTTCCTCGTAATATGGGTCGAAACTCTATATTAAATGCTACCTAAAAATAAAATAAATATTTATTTCTAATGAAAGATACTTGAAATCTAACGGAGTGACAATTGCGCTGAAAGCTTACTTTGAAAAAAAGTAAGCAACATCTGGACTCTATATGTTGTTTCTTCATTACAAGTGTTTCCTGAGTTAGTCGCCCGCGGCTCGGTATCCTATCGTAAGTCCAAAGAATTCCGAAACCGACAGATTCCGAGACGAGGCATCTAAGTACTCCGAACTCTTGGAATTTCCCTACCGAGAGAGCAAAAGCCCGTCTTAGACATCGGCGTGGTGTGATGCTTTAGGCATCCTACTTGGATTTCGCGACGGAATTCCCTCTTCCGTCCGTCTATCGATCGGCCGTGTATGAGGATTTGCGACATCCAATTTCCGATATTAATCAGCGTCCCGACTATGACGATCATCGATTCGAACAATATCGATAAATTTGTACGACATCGCGTCGACCTGCGGTTGACAATCGAATCGCGCGATTAATAGAACATCTATATGAACTATCAATTTTGTGAAATACGAGGTCGCTCTGGAAAAAAAACATAGTCGGCCCGTCAGTCTGTAAATTCGCTTCGAAAATATTTAATTAATGGAAATATCGAATAGGAATAAAGATCTCAAAGATATATGACATACATAAATTGTT